AGGAGATAAAGACTACTCTGCAAATGGAGGAGAAAACCAAGCTGACTATATAGATATGTTTTTAGTTTCTTCCAATAGCACCATTCCACTACATGCAAACTTTGGAGCAGGATCAGAGATCTGATTTTCTTCCAAATGACCAAACACCATGATCAGCTGTAATAGCTTAATATTAAACTTAATCTATGGCTTAATTAGTATTTATTTATATAGATGAAGTCTTATCTCCCCGGTACAATGGGGTGAATCCATTTCAATTTCAACCTCAATATTTCACTCTCTTAAAAATTAATTTCTCAGGAATTATGCACATACCTTTTACTTATTTTTCAATTCTAGAAGTAACTTAGTAGTAGGAAAATTTTTATATTCTCTTCAAGAATTCCTTAGACATTGCCCATACTATCAATCATACAATGACAAGGATTTTGGTAGTTTCAGAAGTGGAACTGAAAGAGAACTGTTGCATCCAGGTCACTGAAAGTGTTTCATCAGATCTTTCTCAGGAGCCAGAAGTTGGGTAACTGCTATCTGAAGCATGCCTGGAGGTTGGCCATGTGAGCTCTAAAATGCAAGTGCTCACCAAGAATGGAAGGTTGGGGACTGTCAGAAAATCACATCTGCTGTGGATTGGGTGTGGAGGAGCACAGATCCAGCAGGTCAGTCATTGGATGGCACACCTACATGGGAAAAAAACACTTAGAGACAAGGGACTGATGCTTTTAGAAGATTACATACACCTGGCCAAGTGTTTGAAGGTGATCATACTTTGAAGATGAAGCTTGGTAAAAACCATAATAGAAAGAGAGGAAGGCCCATTACTGTATTACACACAGTTGGTATTTTTACTGTAATGGAGATTTTCAAAAACATGTGATTTTTGTTAAACTTAGAGGGATCTTTATATATTTTGATGCAAAATGGGTGAATAATAAATAAAATCTGAACAAACCTGAATTTTATGGGAAAATTAAACTTGACATAAATCAAAAAAGCATATAGTACTCTAAATGTACAATTTCACTGTATGTCTTTTTTTTTACTGTAGCAACCAGGGCACAAGGGCAGTACGAACATGTGGTCCTTTATTTGATGAGGGATAATAATCAACTAAGCCAAAAGGAAGGGAAGTAGATTTTCCTAGTTCAGCTGCTAATATAATCTTTTATGTGTTCCCAGTTGTGTAACCATTGCTCCGTGCAGCATTGTAACATGCAACTATTGTTAAATGGTAAAAAACTAAGCAAATATCAGAGAATCCAAATGTAGAGAAATGGCATTTGATGTCACTCTCATTATGCAACAGGTACGATATTTCAGATCCCAGCCCTGCTTTCCTCCTTTGCTGCCTGCTTATGCCTTCATTGGCCTAAGAAGCCCTCATGTCCTTGTAAGAAGGGATTCTGCTGAGACTTGTAGTTGCTGCAAATATCTGGTGACCATGGAAGCAACATAGCTTGTGGTGGGATATCCTGCTTTGCTGGTCTTTCACCATCCCAGTAGTGTTGGATACTTGAGGTCTAACCATTAGGAGTGTTGCAGTATCTCTCTTGAGACTACAGGTGCTCCAGTCCTTCCATTGAGGAGACCATTCTCATTTTAGGCTGTGAAAGGTACATCTCCTTTCCTTCAAAGAAGTTTCAGCTAATGACTACTTAGACATGAATTGATCCTGCATTACACAATTACTGACCTACTTCAACTCTTATCTAGGATTCTTATTCTTATCTAGAATTAATGACTCTTATTAATGTCAATAATAACCATAAATCCATGAAGGTCTTAAATCCATAATTAGTTCAGATTCATTGCTTCATGTTGGCCTGAGCCCCAACCATAACTTCAGATTTCACAAAGCCAGACTCAGAAATATGACTGATAATGTGTTCTCCATCACCTAAAACTCCAAATTAGTCTCACTTATTTCTTCTAGATCTGGCTTTATCCTAAACGGCTTATCTTTTTTCATTTCCAAAAGTAAATCTCAAATCAATTCTAAGTCTAGTCTTAAGGCTAGACCTTGAAGGAATTATAACTAGATCATCTGGTCTGACAGAAAGCTTTGTGTAAGATCAACAGCCCTCTCTAAATATGCATAAACATGCATAAACACCTCACTTTTAACTGTTCTAAATAAATCATAATTATAGTTCTGAGTACAGTAGCAATCTATATTGTTCTCTCTACATTCTGTTTTTTTCTAGAACTAAGCATAATTTGTGGGTCCCTCTAAGCAGCAGGATTAAGTCAAGCTTGATGGCCACTTCTAAATCCAATATTACCTTGTGGTCTCAGCTTCATGTTGACCCAATCTCTGAAGTTAACCTTCATGCTAAAGATAAGTCAGTACATCACTAGGAAGAAAACGTCAGATGTTCATTAATTAACTATAGTTAAGTAAGTTAAACACATCATGCAAACCTTTATGGCAAAAGCCACAAGCCAAGTTCAGGCGTTATGCAGGCTCATGCAACATCATAGCCTGAATCCAAGCCCATAAACCCAGCCAGAGCTATTCCCAAATCCTGCAGAGTTCATCATAAAAACTAAACCTGCAATCTGTTTCAGACCAGCAATTTAGCATAGCTTTACCAGACCTTATTTGCAACAGTCCTAAGGCCCATACCAATGAGCCCATCCTTGCCCAGACTACATCTCTTGGCTAATACCAAATTTAATCCAAACTTTAAAGTTAAGTTAGTGATTCCAGTTAAACCATAGCCCAAAACTATTCATACAAAAGCCTGTTACTTACAACCTGGAGCATATCAAACCTAAAACTAATTCTAATCTGTCCTCAGGTTTTGGAAGCATGTTCGGCCTCCTGAATTACACTGATCTAATCACTAGCAGGCAGCCTCAACCCTTTTAAGTTTAGCTTGATGACCAGTTTTACTTTTAGCACAGTCATGTTGGTTGCTGTGGGATGCCCAGCCTGTAGCAGTACACCTCTGTCCAGAGGTATGACATTAATGACCTGTATTGCTTCTTTAGTGTCAAATATCTGCTTTTCTAAGACTGGTAACATCTCTACAGGTTTTCTCCAAGTTCTCTAAGAGTGGGGATTTTTTTTTTGTACCACTGTTTCTTGCTCCATAAGTCTAAAGTCCACTCAGTCCTGACCCCACACTGGGAAAAAGTTCTGTGCTGCATCATACAAAACATCTGTTCCTACTCCTGTGTATCTGTGACCTTCTAATAGTCTGTACCAGGCATGAGATTCTGTTAAATGGCTCTGCACTGAAGACTCCCTTCCTCTCAGTGACCAACAATCACTTATGTACAAGATGGAGTCAGGATGATGATCTGACCGGTGATTTGGCATGTAGTATGACAGAACAATACACAGGTTTATTTTTGACAAGTTATTTCACTGTGATTTCACTACACAGTTACACTTTCTCGCTAATTTTGAGTTTTGAGCAATATTCCCATGGTCCTAAATTACCTTCAGGGTCAAAGAACTGCACCCCTCTTCCAGCACAAATTCTGCACAGCTAGGCATGGGCTCATGGCACACAAGACAAATGGTTCTTCTCCAATATTGCTTCATTTTGGTTAATATAATTTGTATTAGAATCACTTTTACTTTTTGAAGAGGGAGCAAATTTGATTCATTCACCTACCCACCTCTTTTGCCTTTCCTAGCCCTAGTTCAGAGTTATTGATACTGACAAATCCAAAGGATGAAAAGGATTTATTTTTTCATGTTTCTTTCTCAGGAAAAAAAAGCCTTTTTTTTTCCTTTAGGCAAGGAACAAACTTGACACTGATTGTACTCAATAAGTACAATTTTTAGCACAGATTTCCAGGCATGTATATATTAAAATGTATTAATGCATCCACAGAAATGCAACTGAACTGACTAATAGAAAACCACCAAAGAGCAACTCCATTAATTCTTCATATAATTTACTGTAATGTTGTTACAACACAAAAGATAAAAATCTTCCCACAGGCAATTCACAAAAGCTATGAGTTATTTCATTTTATACAGACAAAATGTACTGAATTCATCAAACCATTTATCTGGTTGAACTAATGGGTCATAAAGTGGAAATTTCTCATTTGGTTTTGCTAGTCACAATTATGATGGGTTTGTTTTGTTCTACAACACTATAACAGAATTCTCTCAACTGGCTATTTGAATATTAGAATATTTTTATTGCTCTTTGCTCTTGACAATGAACTGCAATTTCCAAGTGTGATACTTCATGACACTTTGTGTTCTGCAGCCTTCTGGAGAATCTGCACATTTAATGATATACGATCATATCTTAGCTCAGATAATGTGCAGATACAGTAATTTATGGGGGGGGGAAACCCAAGAAAACCCCAACAAACCCTGGTGCAAAATGGTTCACATAACAACAACAAAACTACTGGAAATGGTGCATATGGGTCCCATATCCCTTAAGAGAAATTATGTACACAGTTCTTTTTATGTAGAGCCTAATAGATTAAGACCCTGTCTGCTATAGATTGCCACCTTTCTCTAAATTCTACATATTTCCCTCACATACATTCAACAATATGGAAGTTTTGACCTAAATTAACTATTTGTACCATGTCATGTGTTAGCTGATGGAGCCAAGGATTTCAGGATAGTGGCACATCCCCTGCTATAGTGGCATATCCCTTACCTTTGTACTCCCCATCTTTACTCCTTGGAACAGGAGGTATCTCCTGTCACTGACTATAGAAGTGACCTGCATACATAGGGAGGGAATCTGACTTTTATAGGACTAATTTAAGGATAAAATATATCCTAAACTGTCATGAAGAAAGAACTCATTTTCAGTACTTCATTTACTACAAAGCTTTGTCCAATAACCACTGAACAATCTGTGTTACATCTCATTGTGAATTTGTATAGAAATCAAAGCTTTCTTGCACCATCATGGTACTTTTGGTCACAGCTCAAGTCTTCATCCTGAATTACAGAGCAATTGAACTGAAGTCTTCCACTTCTCAATTACTGAACTATGGTCTCTTTTTTCCTACATCAATTGTGTCATATCCAGAATTCTTGATGACCTAGTCCTAGTCAATGTTTTTGATTGCATTTCTGCAGCCAGACATCTCATGATAGAGAGACACTAAAGGAAGTTATACAGCATCAGAAAGAAAAGTTTCATTCAGGTAGCATCCATTTCCTCCACCAAAAAATGTACTTTTCTTCAATTCCACAATATTCAGCATATATTTAATGGGTTGAATTGGAGTGGATTTAAATCCAAACCTGAATCTGGTGTTGGGACAGTCTGATTATAAAATAACACCTGCTATTTCATGAATGCTTAGCAAGAAGCTTGTTTTGTGTGTTCTCTTCACCTCTGTAACACCACTAGTGAATATTCTTGGCTTTTCCAGAAGCACAAATAAATGTGTATTTGTGAAAAGATTATCATGGCACTTGTAAAACACTTTTTAAAATTAAAATAGCTATCTGAAGGCTTGCAATATTTTTAAATAATCTTTATTACTTTTGGTCTCAGGTTACACAATGAGATGTGCACTAAACAAATGAAAGTTGATTAATGTATTTTAATGGATTTCCATTAAAGAAACTTTGAGCTCATACCACAGGTAATTCTGAAATCCCATGAGATTTAGTGGCATAGTTTCATTTCCTTCAGTTATCCAGCTACAGCAGCAGGCTACTGCAGTCAGTTAGCTTATGATAATTTGCATGTTTTGTTGGTTTTATTTTAAGAGGAAGAGAAATAAAATTCCGTAATATGTTTTATTTATTTCCTGAGGACTTTCACTTACACAAGTAGGCACTAAACATTTGAAATTTACTTTCCAGAGCACAACAGTAAAAAACTTAAGAGTTTGGCTTAGTTTCATTTAAAACAGTAAAAACTGACCCTGTAAACATTTCCATAGGAGGTAGGATACATACATTTGACAATTTGTCAAATATGAGAAAGTAAACAGTTACTCTGTGGTCCTAATAAATAATGAGCAACACAGGCATTAAATAAACATTTTTTTATATATATATAAAAAAAGATATAAGTGAAAGATTAAAATAGCATTTTTAATAAATTAGGAATAGATGTAATAATTTTTTTACAACTTATTCTTGCATGCAAGAATCACTGGTTCTTTCTGCTTACCCTGAATTTCTGACTAAAAAGCTGTAATGGTAAGAACAATCCTGAGAGATTCACAAGCAAGACCCAACCTAAATATAGCTATTTTTTGTGTGTGAAGGGCTGATAACATTGCTAAAATGGGTCCTTTAATATATAATACTTTTATCTTCCACCAGCTTGGAAGGGGATTATCATCATAGCCTTAATGTCAGGGGCTGGAAAGTAAGCTTAGGGCACAGACAGGCCTCTCCCAGTTAGGTTCCTCCAGCAGCTGCTCCCATGAAGACAGTGTTGATTGGTGGTAAAGATGGCACCATATCTCTGCTTGCTGAGGCATGGACCTCCAGATTTTCCTGGGAAGGGAACTGACCAGATGTTCCGTACATACACTGTGAAGAAGATGTGGTTTGCAAGCTTGAAGCTGTGGGAAAAAAAGTTACCATCATCACAAGTTTTCAATTTACTGAATTTAAAAGAAATCACAATCCAGTTTAATTTGATGGAAACTCCTGTCTACCAGGCACATCATCTGAAGAACAGAAATGTCTGATCTTCTGTGCAAGATTAGTGTGCAAGCAGTAGGAAGATGTAATCTTGTGTAGAAATAAAGTGTCCTAGTTTATATCTTCCATGTAACCCTTCTTGAAATGTGAGACCAAACTGAGATGCTATTTGTTTAAAGCATATAGCAAAACAAGCCCTTTGGGATTGGGTATTTCTGCCTGAAATTCACTGTCAGTGGGAGCTTTGCCTAATACACACAGTTGTTGAAGCATAGGATGGGAGACCAGAGCACAGGAAGTATATACTGAGACACCCCTGACCCAGGACTCATTTGATCTGTTTGACAGTGAGGATGCCCAAGAGACCCTAGAAAAACCCAGTCTTCTATTAGTTTACTTAATAATTAGAAAGTGTTTCCTAATACATATTTTTATGCAACTCAGGACAATCATTCCAGTCCTTTTGGACAATGGCTCATAGACCTCCTTATGGAAGAAAATTTATTAAACTCAGTTTTAAGGAAAACATATCTTATGATACATCCTAAGTACCAAGCTGTTTCATCTCTATGCTGCATTTCATATATTGTGTGTGTGAGCTACAATTTAATTCTCAGCATTTGTTAGGATGCCAAAAATTCATAGCTGCTCCTCAGTTATTGGCTATACTTACCCATGGGGGTCCGGCAGACAATTGAAGGTGAGGACTCTGTGTAGTATGAGCCTGTTTGTTTTCTTCTGCTGTCATCCAAGATATTCAGTGGATCATGTATATCACTGTAGGATGGCAGTGGCCGAATGCTGCTGACACTGCTGATTACAGAAACATGTTGGTCCACCATTGTTCCAAGTCTGTGAGATTCTGAATAATTTATGCTGTTTCCATAATATCCTAATTGAAGATTGAAAAAAAGAAAAGATGAATGAAACTACTGGCTAGCGTATGAGCCAGTGATAACCTTGGAAAAGCAGTACTTTTTACTGGATGAAGCCCTTCACAATAAGATTACTTATGCACACCCACAGCCTAGGAAAATAAGCAGCATATGTAAGGACTGACCCAAAAGAGAGGAGGTAACAAGGAAACCAAAAGATGGTAAGGGTTCAGTCATGCCTTCGTTACAGAAAATTGCTCTTTCCTTCCAAGTTCAGAATCAAACATAGCCTGCAATCAGTGGCCTTAAGAGACACCTTTGGGGAGTCCTATCCACAAAGTTCAGCGCTTCCTTCTGAAGCTTACAACCAAGGAAAGCATACATGGGAAGAAAATCTGCAGGGTAGTATGTATTCACTGCATAGAAAAATCCAGATAAAAGAAACATTTCCACTGTGTCTTTCCTCCAGAAGAGGGAGGTGTTTTGCTGACTGTACCTCTGAAGCAGTGATTTTACATTTGAATTATGAGAAATGAAAGGGACAAAGTCCCAAACTATTGCTAATGCATGTTTTTATACTTCTTTTCACCCCATCACTAGAATGGTCCATTATGCTGGTTGCAGGGGTAAGCTATCTTGTGTCTGCTCTGTTTCACAGCAAATGTTTTGGGGGCTTTTCAAGAGACTGTTAAACCACAAGGTCATTCTGGTTTTGCCTCCTTTGTGCAAGATACGGTGATGATACCAAAGGAAGATTAGCATAGGGCAGCAGATACATTTGAGGTCACCAGAGGAAAATAAGCCTTTAAGTAGCTTACTAAGTTGCTTTACAATCTCTATGTGTTATCAGATAAGTGGAAAACAGGAATGTATAAATAAAAGCTGAAATACATCTTCCAGAGAAAAAATGGCAGAGAAAAAGTGTTTTCCTCCAGCAATGAAAGAGAAACAAATGGAAAAAGAAAATATATAATAATACCATTGGAAGCATTAGCAGGATAAGCTGTTCCTGGACATGTAGACACTGAGTTGTTCAAGAAATTGAAACTCCCGGTATTCAGAAACTGCATATTGTGTGTGTCCTGAGACATGCCAGACGGACCATAGCTGGAAGGGGATCTGGCATTGTAGGGAGACACAGCACAACTGTTGCTGAAGTAGTCTCTGGAGAACTGCTGTTCACTCAAGGCATTGAATCGGCTGGGCTCTGCTCTGTGGTCGTAGACTCCTGAAGTGGAATGGGCCTGTGTCCTGAACATAGTCTGGTAATTGGAATTGTTTCCATAATAATTCTGATTAGTCTGTGACAAAGTCTGGTAAAGGGGTTCTGAGTAGGAAGAGCACTGTGAATGTGTTGATAACATGGGACCTATGCTGGGAGGTCTCACAGCCATTGGCCCCTGGTTGATAACACTTCCTCGGCTGACCATGGCTGGTGAAATGGGTGGAGTCATGAGGTGACCAGTGCTTTGAGACAGCTCCATTTGATCTGGAATAAATAAACATTAGCCATGATTAGTGTCCATACCTCAGTACTGCTGTTAAGACACAAGCCCTCCAATGAAGTGCAGATTAACATTTGAAACTTTTACAAAAGATATGCACTGGCCTCCACCTATATAATTCACAGCTCCTATTTCATGGCTTCAGGCTATAAATCTTCCTCCTTTCATTCTCCAGCTTCGAGGTGCCACATTCAGTGGGAATTTCCAACAGTTACAATCCTTATGTGCTCCAGGTTTACTGTTCATTTTCTTCTCACGAGAACCTCACCAAGCCCAGAGTTCTAAGATTTTACTGTTTTACTGTTTTTCCAAGGGGAACTATTACTGGCAGGGTAATTACAACTGCTGACTTCTGTAAATCACCACAGAAGATGAGCTCATGAAATGTTTACTAGAGGTCTTCATAAATGCGTGTGGTCATTGCTCCTCCTACAGCAACATGTTACCTCAAACTCAAAGACCAACAGGCAGATTAGGGAAGGAGAAGAGTTGATACACACCTGTCAGCTGCATACTCTCCCCATCTCCTGTGGTGAAGGGGTTCAGCCCAGAAGATGCACTGCTGGGCTGGCCAGCTGACAAGGACACATAGGTTTGCTCTCCAAGGCACTCATTTTTGACTGAAGTGTCACTGGGCAGAGGAGCGGCTTTGTTGCGATTTGCTAGGAAGCAAGAGCTTGGTGATGCAGTGAAGGTGGCTTTGCTTGCATCTGGAAGGGCAAATGAAAACCCTTGTTGGCTGTTATGTATCCTCACCACACATAAATTCTGTATGTATCATTTTTCCTGACCACAGATCCACATCACGCAGTATCAGCTCCTTACTGAAGCTATCATAGTGAAGGTATGAATCAGATTTATTCCCTTGAAGTAAATGTCAGCAATGAAGTCAAGTAAAGAGAATTAAGAGTGAATCAGGATCGACATTTCATCCTAAAGAATTAACAACGCTAACTTTAGAATGCTTGAACTCTCTTTTCATATTGATTACTAAAGAAAAGCATTTGCAATGCTCCAGAGCTCTTCAGCTTTTTGCAGACTATTGATAAAGTCAGTTTTGCTGTTCTTCAGAGGAAACCATGATTTTACAATTTTCAAGTTTCAAGTACTTCACATCAACACATAAGGATAAGGCAATTGTCACACAGGCCAAGTTTTTCTCCTTTTTCAGCCTCTCTCCCCTGGAGGCTGAATTGAAAGTGCAGCATCTACTGTTAGAGAAATTCTATGCACATTTCTTGCAGCAAAGTGCAGATTTACAGTAACAACAACCAAAAAGTTAAGGATTGACTGCCAGTGTTAATGCTAATGCAAAACAATTCTGCAAGTTTCTGAAGTTTCAATGGATTTTTAAGGATTTGCTGGGACCATAACTTGATCCGAATCAAACTTCATTCTTTTTATAGCGAAGGACCTGGAACATATAATTTCAATCCATCTAACTTTGAAGAAGCCTGGTAGATGCAAAATGTTAAGGATATTGTTTTCAAATAATTTTATTTCTCTTCCATAATACTAATATTCATTATATAATTATATATATCACACTATATATTATATATCACATTATCATAATACTAATATTTAATAATACTTCAGACACATGGTAAACAGGGTTCCAAACTTGTGTTCCAACACTGAAGGGATATTTGTACTTTGGTAACATTTAATAGATTCCTACTTCAAGCTGTTATTACATATTTAAGATGTAGGGAGAAACTGAATTAGGAATTCCTGCCCTTTCTGCTGCTTATACCTCTTTTCACACCTCAGTTCATAGCACTTCAGATCTACCTACAAGTCTTTGCTGCATCCAAGATAATTTCAGTGATCCTTAGTATTGACATTCCAACAAAATGTTATGAAGTGAACTGTGGTAGGAAGGTGGGAATGAATTGATGAGTGACTGGTCACAAACTTTACAGATTAATTTGTTTCAGACAATGTTGCACATAACCACACCTTCAGGAGAACGCAGTAAACTTGCTTCAGCTTAAACAAATACATAAATTTTGAAACATACCAGTACCTGCAAAAGAACCAAGCTCTAGTTACCTAAATTCTTCATGTATTTGTCCAGTAGATTCTGGAGTTCTTGTTCTTTGTCATTGTTGAACTGTGTCTCCATTGCAAGCAGGATGTACTCATCTAGTAACATGCGGATCAAATGAAAAGAACCTTTTGGAGGAGAAAGAGAGAGAGAGAGAGTAGCTGAGTTATCTCTGTGACCATCTCTCACCACTCCATAAGAAGCCAGTGAAACAAACAAATAATTGTGGACTTTAAATGACCTGGTAAGACCAACAAGGAATAGTGCCTAACTTCTAGCTCTAATCTCTCTTTGCACTGGCCCACCTAGCTCAATTGTTTACTGTCCTGTAGGCTATTTGACCACTAATTACATCAAAGAAAAATACTGATGAAAGTGAGACATGCTTTATACTTGAAGAGGGCACACAGTGGAACTAGATAAGGCTGAAATTTGCTAGAATGCCTCTGCTCTATTTCTGTTTGCCTTGTGCTAAATAACCAGACAATAACTGGTAAAGTCTTTGACCTTATTTCAAGGATATATCACATTAAAAAATGTGTCCCTACAGCCATTTCAAATATCTTTTGAATTTCAGATAACAAAGTACCTATCACTAAACATATGAAATTACATACTAGAGTTTCTTTCACTCATTCTGCTATCTTCTCTCTTATATAAGGTTCTGAGTGTTCCCAAAAATGTAAACATTCCCAAAGATGCATGTGTGAGCTTTAATTTTTAAAAGCCACAAACACTTTTAAATTGATCATCTTCTGATTCCAGAATTGTGTGGTGACTGCCAAATTCCTTTTGTTTTTATTAAAATATACCATGAACAAGAACTTATATACAACAGTATTTTTTTTACCAAACTGATCCACAGGTAAAACCAGTAATTTAAACATTTTGTCTCTTATACTGAGATGTGCAGTCATTGCCATATTAGAACAAAGTTTCTAGCACTTAAATGTCAAAGCAGTATCAAAATAGCAATTCAAAAGAAAAATACCTTTTAAAAATAAACCTGGGACACAGATGACCAGCAAAATATTACTAGCATTTACTGTGAAATATTAGTTTGAAAAATACATCACACAGTATTTGTGGCTTTCACCAAAGAATTTTTAGATTAGGATGGGTTCCTCAGCACAGGAAATGGTGGAAAGCTGGTAAATGCTTAACTTATATGTACAAAATATGAGTGGTTTTATAAAGCTCAGGTACCAAAACTTGATGCGTTGTTTAGAGTTAGGTTATGCATCACTCGAGCACCGAAAAAGCTCCATTTCAGAAGGAAGTCTTGAGCTCTCTTCTTTAAAGACCTCCCATTTTGCTTGCTTGCCTGAAAGAGAACAGTAAAGTACTGTTAAGTATGTTCACTTGCTTTCTGCCAACAGGCGAGATGAACTGAATATCCTTGAGAGTTCAAGGAGTCTTTGACTCAGGCTGATGTGACAGAGTGAACCAAGCTGCCTGATTCAAACTTTCTTCTTTGCTGTGTGACCTAACTTGGTAAATGAGAGCAGCCTTCACTCTTTTCAGTGCAATCATAGAATGTTATCTGTCAATGCTGGGTGAAGCAAACTGCTTACTGCTTGGGCCCTGATGATAAATGACTCCATATTCTAGTATTAAATGTGCCAAGGAAGGAAGGAAGGAAGGAAAGAAGGAAGATCCCACCCTCTTGCACTGCTATTCCATAAAAACAGGGAATATAAATTAGTCTTTGTACTTAAATTTAATCTGTATAATAGTCGTCAGAATTTCCCTTATTGGTATGTTACTATCATGATGATCAAAGTGATGCTTTTAATACTGCATATTTCATACAGTCACTTTGCTCTGGCAGTGATTTGTTTGTGTGGTAACACATGCCCTGTTAGTTTCTCAAACAGCAAACAGAAAGAAGCTGTTGTGTGGGTTTGACAGTAGCCACACTTTAGCATGAACTGAATGCAGACAGCAGTGGAAGGATTACATGTTCTGTAAATGATTAGCTTCTGCTCAAGTTGACCTAGCTTCATATCAAAACTTGTTGATACTTCTTCCATTAAGTATAGGAAAACAATGCTAGGAACATGTTGTTCTAATAGTTTACAGTAAATAGAGTCACAAATTGGGTAAATATCTTTTACTTACCTATAAGTAAAAATCCTTTCTTTTGTTCTGAGCTGTAGTTTATTAATCCCTACACAACTACATGCATATAAAATACTTGTGATGAAAATGCATCTTGGTAATTGGAGGTGAGCAATTTGATGGTGGAATCCCATCAAAACCATCAATTACTTTGTTAAGCACCTTACAAAGCTACAAAACTGTATCTTCCACCCTGAAATGTAGAAATCCTTCAGGAGGCTAGCTACTTATGAATCCACCTGCTGCAGGAACTTGTACCACACACAGTATCACCCAAATGCCGCGGAAGAGAGAATTGCTTCTCTAAGAAACAGCTTTTGCTCACCTTACTCAGAGCAATCCCCTGCAATTCTGCAGGCACACATAAAATGGGAGGGTTTCTGACACATACAATTTGTGAAAGTGCTGACTTCAGTGTTTTAGCTACAATACCTCTTAGTTTGTCACACACATAAGACTGCTCAGCATGATTAATCTGATCTAATATCACCGGAATCTTTGGCACCAAATGATAAACTTCTCTGTCACAGTAAGGCAATAGGAGCAGAGGTGAAAGTTCCTTGGGGAAAATCAGTGTGACTGCATAAGGAGTAAGGGGAGTAGGATTTGGTCTGGAGTCAGGCAGAACATTTGAAAGGTACCTTGATAACCCTTTGCTCAACCACAGTATCCAACCATTCAATAAATGATTCCACAGTGGCATTCTTCTTTAGAAGGTCCTTCAGTTCTTGGAACACTGTAATAGAGTCATCTACCATGTAAAAAGGAGAACATATCATGGCACTCTACTCTGAACACGAGAAAAAGCCACTCACCAGCCATATGACAATATTGTAGCATGGAAAGGAAAATAAAGAATTAGAGCAGTGAAGAAATAAGTAATTTCCCAGCAAAGCAAGCACACACATCCATCACACACATGTATTTTAATTACTTAAGCATTACAATGATACAGGTTGCAAGACAATGAAGTTTTATAAGAAAATAAAAGCAAAAGAAGATTATTGTATTTTCCATTCCTTTGTAGAGTCAATCATGAAAACCTTTCTAATACTACATTTACTAGTAAAGCTTCCTCTGTAATATGGCAGATTTGCAGTGTCTTATGTTTCCTTCATACCTTACAAGTTTCTCACAACAGGATATAATTTCCTCAATTCTCATTTTCAAAAAACTGCATGAATAACCAGTTATTTCTCTTGTTCTTTTCTTTTTTAAGCAGTGTGAAAGAAGACAAAGAATAAAATAAAAAATGACTACACAAAAAAAGTAGGAAAGGGGCAACTCAAATGAAAATGTGAATGAAATTGTGAATCATTAAAGAGAACAAACTTTCATAATCAAAGTAATAATATTTACAGGACAACACATTCCTATTCCTTTCAAGAATCTCTGAACAACATGACTCGTATGACAAAGTTCTCTTTTTAATAGAGAAAATGGCTATATCTATTTCTCAACAATGTATATGAAAATTAACTACCTCAAAATTTATAGTTCACTCTATTCTGTGTATGAAAATAGCTGCTACACTAAATAGAAAATTACATCTATTTTTAAAGCTCAAATTTCAGAAGAAAATACGATTAATTAAAAAAAAGTAAACTAGTTCAAGTATTCATTTTATTAAGCCATAATGAAATGATATTTTGGATAAATCTTTCAAGAACTGATCTGTGCAATATCCCCATATAATTAGGACCAAGTTCCAAAAGAGGTTTTCAAGTGATATAAATGAATTTTTCAACAACCATTTAAAGTTATCTAGCTGGGATGACTTTCCAGCACAAGCTTCTGTTTTTGTAGGACATGCTAGGGCAACCAATTTGTTTTCCTAACCGCCTGAAGTTTATGGTGAACTAGATTAGAGAATGCAGAGTCTTCGAGTGCCCTGTCTCAGTCAGTCCAAGTAGACTGGTGTGGCACAGAATGAAAGAATTAATTACTTTTAATGGTCCAAATATGTTACCATGGACTTACATTCACTATAGGCTTCCCCATCAGAGTCTGTGCTGCCTGAAACTGCAAGAAGGGCCTGAGAACCAATACTATTCAAATCAACTTTTTCAATATCCGACACCATGGAATTCACCACATGCTGATCAAAAAGAGCTGGTCGAGCAATCTGCAAGAGAAATCAAGGTAAAATACTGAGATCCTGTTGTGGTTTTGCCCCAGCTGGCAGCTAGGCACCACACAGCCACTCAACCGCTCTCTACCCTGCCAAGGGATGCGGGAGAGAATTAAAGGAGTACAAGTAAGAAAACTTGTTGGTTAGGTTAAAAACAGCTTAATAATGTTTTAAAAGAAAGAATAAAAATAATAACAACAACAACAATAATAATTTAAAAGTTTAAAAGAAACACCAAAAACAACTGAGAAAACTACAGTCCAACAAAGAGCAGTGATGCAAATGAAAACACTTGCTCACCACCAACTGACCAATGCCGAGCCAGGTCCCTGAGAAGTGGTCCCCTGCCAACATTTCCACAGTTTTATTCCACAGTTTTATTGTTGATCTGTGGTATGGAATATCCCTGTGATCAGCTGGGGCCAGCTGACCCAGCTATGTCCCCTGCCAAACTTCTGTGCCCCTCCAACTTATTTGCTGGCATTGTGGTGTAAGAAGCAGAAAAGACCTTGGGTGTGTGTAAACACTGCTCAGTAGTAACTAACATAGCCCTGAATTGTCAATAGTTCCCAGTACAAATCCAAAATTTAGACCCATACTATGATGAATAACATTAACTCTATCACAGACAAAACCAGTACAGGCCCACACCTAGGGATCACCCAAAAAACTGCTCAGAGAAGAATCTTATGTTTAATTTTATTGTCATGGCTGGGTTTATCACAGCTCCGATGAGATAATGTTTCCCTTTCATTAGACTCCTGATGCTCTTCTAATGTGCCTTTCTATCAGATTATCTTCACAAGATCACCCATATGCTGCTTTTGTATTTATGAAAGAGAAAATCAAGTTAAGATGAATCTGTGGAGTGTCTACAGTTACGCATGAGGACTACCACCTCAAAGCCCGAGATGCTAGCATAGAAGGAAGTTCCTCAAAAGGCATTCAATCCTTTTGGGTAATCTATAAAACCATCACACAGAGGTGACTCCTAACTGCAGACACCTGTATCCTGATGACATAGCCTTGGAGTCTTCAACTACCTGTCATTCCTTCATTCTTTCTTCTCACTCAAAACTCAAACAGAAATAGAACAACACGGAAAAGACAGTGAATCTTTGCTAGGCAAGAAGAATCATCTGGTATTTTCCAGTTTGGTACTAAAAAAAACACACATATATTCCACTTGATCATTTCATTGGAAAAAGTTCCTGTGATTACAGTTCATTATAACCATGGTCTTTGCTCTCTTTTCTGGTACATAAGACCGAAGTTCTGGTCAAATCTATTTATGGTCACTTTCTAATTTCATGGTTAAAACTACAAGATTTAGGGCTTTCAAGGCTGAAGGTCAACCCTGAAAAAATAATGCATTGTATCTCATAGCCAGAAGAGTAGACTGAATACAACTGACACATTTTTGAATGTATAATCTTATTCTGTTTACCTGTGCCAGGTGTAGGAATGACGTCTGTCGTTTCAGGGAGGAAACAAATCTTCGTGCAATAGGCAATTTCTTATCTATCAGGCTTTCTGGTAGATTTTCCAAAGAGGAAGCAACCCACTGTTCCCAGTTTTTTGCAAAACTTCTTATATCTGCCAGTAAACTATAAAGGAAACAAAAAGTGATTTAGAGAATCACCAATAAAGATTTGCATAAGTTAATTTGGTTTCAGTCTATGGCTAACAGACTTCTGAACATATCTAGAAATTCCTCCTCAGGTGTTACCAAAAGAAATAGGAAATGACCAATCATTGATCTATATATTGACTACATATTGATACTTACCTTCTCTGGAAAAAAACTGTGGGCCAATTGGGACACTAAAATGCTATCTAAAATTTTAAGGCTGTTCTATAGTTGTCCTCAGAGCTGGTGCTATTTTGCCATACATAGTCTACTGTTCTAAAAATGAGCATAAATACTGTGAGGAAATTTCTCTAGAATACAGAATTACTGGTATTTATCTGGAATATACCTACAAATCAGAATGTATCATGATTATTTTCAAATACCTACCTTTCTGGCATTTCTTGCATTGTTGCAGGGATGAGTACATCTGTAAGAACCTTCAAAAAGTTAACAGAAAATGACATCATGCTTCCACTGGTCATTTATTCATTCATCATGTCTGTCTTGTCTGCTTAGATTGCAAAGTGATAAGTACAGAAAATTTACACAGAATATAGCCATTCAACCTATTGTCCAGAAAATTATATGCCTGGATTTTTCCAATCACTATTAGACAGGAACATATGAGATATTTATATACTTACACTGCACCAATTGTATATTTTCTTGTATATCTTCACAGCAGTAAATGAGAAAAAAGAAACAAGATATGCTATTCCCCATGTCTTAGAGTAGGGAAATCCATAGAAGTGAGATGCATAAACACTTTGTCTTTTCTAGCATCACCAAGTCTCTGTAAAGCAGATACTCAAGCATCTCCCAAATCCTGGAAAGCTGTTGACTCTTTCTACCACACTGGACATGACACTATAGGCATTCAGAGTTTAGCCACAGAGTTCCCTGTTCCCTGTTGCTAAGTGTGGTGTGGAACAGTTTTGGCAAAAACCTGTGCCATCTGGCATGACATCTAAGGAATGTTACTGTGGAGGACAAAGTTGTTAGACAATATTCCAGAAATCTCCTTTCTCTGTTAATGTAAAAAGTTTGATAACAATCCAATGTAATTCCTTCTTTCTTCTGTCAGTTGTGATGTAAAGAATATCTAACATGATTATAGATAAGAAATAGTGAGAGAGCACAATAGCAAATTTATGAACTTTTGAGAAATTGCTCAATCTATAATTTAATGCCTCTCTAGTATTTCTTCTTCTGTCACAATAAATCTATCATAAATAAAGTTAATATTTAATCTATTGAGATAACACATTTAGAGCAGGAAAAACCTCATAAACTCAGGGTACATTATAACCTCTACAAGTAAATGAGGCTTAATGACCCATCTCCCGGGTAGTAATTATGATTCTTGATGCTAATTACCTTTGCTTTACTATTCTACCTAAAACATTTCTTACTTTACAACTTTATATGCTTCTAAATAATACATATTTTCTTTTCTGGATTTCTCCCCATATTTTTATACAGTAAAGAAAGATTACAATCAGGCATCAGAGCTAAAAACTTTCAAGTCTTTTGCTTTGACTGGTTGGTGTTTACTATTAAGCCAATAGTTATTTCTTCTCACCATCAATGTGATGTGAAATCTATTACACATTTATATGAGAATCCTTTTCTATTTCTATGGCACATCCTAGCAGAGCAACTTAAAGTACTTTGCATCTACTAAATAATCATCTAAACTGACTTTTCAGATGAAAAACTCAGGAAACTTTAGTGGCATTATTTTGTTGTTTCCCCAGTGCTCTATAAGTTATTCCTGACCACGCAACACTCCTAAGGGTCACTTGGTTTCAACTATTCATGTGGTCATGCCGTGAGTTAGATCAAAGATCTCATATGGTATAAAATCTCTGTAGAACAAGTATTCCTTTTTTTTAAACCCTGACCAATTTAGAGTGTATCAGTTTTGCTGGTACATCTAGCAGCACGGGAACAGAAATGAAAGCCAACAGGAGGGGCAACTTAACCCAGTACTGTTCCAGTTTGGTAACATGAAACCATGGCCATGAAACCATCAGCAAACTGGCATGTGGAATCAGCGATGTGCCACAGACTCTCTTTCTGGGTAGAAATCTTTTCAATGAAAACAAGGCTTCAGTTTTCATCCAGAATTACTTTAGCCTTGTCAGTGAGCACATGAGCATTTCTTTTTGCTACATTCAAGCAAGTAGGTCAGGGTTTCACTGTTACTGTGCTGCCCGGTCACACATCAGGTTTTCAGCTGAGCTGAGACTGAAGTTCAGCTCTTGTAGGTGCCCATTTTATTTCTTTATTTCAATGATCTCCTTCCTGATTTACAGCAGAAAGCAGTCATGGCACCCTGTCGTTCTATCTTCTTTCAGATGCAGAAGATCTATAGTGGATGAGATTATTCATGTAGCTTAATGCTTAACTTACCTTATATAGTATTGAGTCACAGACACAGAAAATGTCAATGATGATGGGATTTTCAAGCAGAGGAAGAAGATGGTCAGGCATTCCTTGCCAAAAGTGTAATAGGAAATGCTGAATCTAAAGAAATAGGAATCAGATTCATAGACATAAATTAAGCTTTCTTGGCTTCCCATGCGTATGTACCAAGTGTGTGTGTTCAAACAACCTTACCTCTTCAAAGTTCCCATTAATTGCATTGTCAAGGACACACTGACAGTGCGTTTTGTACATCATGATAAGAGTATCTACCTGTTTTGGAAGAAAGAAATATTAAACAGAGTTTCTTAACTCTTTCCTTTATTGCTACAGTGGTCTAAATTTCTGCCTTGTGTAGCTAGTATTTAATCACATAATATAAACTGTATTGCAATGGATATTTACAAACAGGCAGCCTGTATATCTAGAAATGATGAGGACATCACTCATCACTAGTTTTATCAACAGCTTTATGTCATTATTATTCAAGCATTATTTAAGCCATTGTTTAAGTCAAGCACTGGTGCTGTGGTCAGACAGTAGCATCTGAACCCGTATACACTGTGAAAATGTGGATAGTAAAGTAAGGCAATATCTAGATCAGTCAGTCAGATGGTAAAAATTCACCTTTCTGAAGCTAAGATTAATCCCAAAGAGCAGTGCAAGTTAATCATTAGGCTACTATAGGCGTCTATGAGTGTTCTGAAACATCATCTAGTTGGACAAATGAGAAAATAGCTGCCAGTCATTTGGTCAAAGTTTAATCACTGCCTCACATGAACTGAACTTTTAAAAGCAGAACTCCCTTTCATCTCATCAGGTTACTTTATCTGAATGAAGTGTTCTCTTATTTAAAAAAAACAAACCAACAAACAAAAAAGAAAGTAGTAATTTGTAAAAATTGTAGCAAATTATAAGACAATAAATATACAAACTATTTTAAGGAAGGAAAAGTGCTAGCAAAACCATTCTTATGGTCCTGAATCACAGAAGGTTTGTCACAGCTTATGAATTTCTATCAGATTTTGAATGAACCTGGTGCCATCTTATTACAGTAGGTTCAGGATGCAGATTTATTTGAAAATAAACCTTTCTGACATACAGAGCTGCTTCTCTAACTAAGTACCTTTGAAAAGCAATAGCTGGGTGTGAAACTGAAGAACATTTTAAAGAATTGTTTTTGAAAGGAGTTGATGAAATATAAAGGTCAGGTAAGTTCTCTCCAGAAACATTAAATCCAGGAATTACCCATCTATTCTAGTAATTATGGACTCTCCAGACATCTGAGTTGCAAACAACTCCTTAAGAGTTTAATGCAGGAGTCAAACTTCATGTACAGGCTGTCTTCAACAGTACCTAAATATCTCAGTTTCAATAACCTTTGGTCAGATAAACTGAAGGAGGGAAAAGGGAGTATGAAAAGAAAATAGGAATTATGAGAACAAGCAACAAGGAAAGAACAGCAAAGAAAGAGAATGCAGGAGACACAGAAATTCATTTTTCCCACAGTCTCCTCGTAACTTGGTAAGCCTGTCCCCAGACAGTCATGCGCAATGCTGCTGAGCCAAAAATTAAGAGAGAATGAATTGCAAGTTTTTCTCCATTGTTGGAGCAGTAAAAATCAGTTTGCTTATACTGCTGTGTTGGGTCTTCAAGGAACCTCAAACATTTGTCAGATTTTAATTTAACGAGAATGCTTTCTATATGAGAGATATCACTTCACAGATGGAGACTATAGCAGCAGGTGGTACACTGCTGAGTATACCAGTTCTGGGGCTTTCTTTTGGAAAGGCAAGATTTCCAGCTAAGATGGCTCCTTTCCTTTAGTTTCTCCCTACAGGAAACCTAGGCTTCACTACTTTCTCAGAACAAGCTTAGGAGGAGGGGCTTGCAAAAAAAAAAGAGTTTTAAAGCACTGTGTCTCAAACCAGTTACCATTATCACCTGCACTGAAGACTAAATTGAAAAGTTCAAAGGATTTCTAGCACAGTGTAGCAGCTTGTAAGGTGACAATCAACAACACAGAAGTAACACACTGGCAAAGAGTCAAAGACATAAAACATAAGAGATATTTCCAACTGAAGAGTTACCCTTAGGATAAGTAACACCAAGTATTTATTTGAAGAATGATTTAAGTAATTTAAAAAAAACCACGAACACATTCAGATTTTCAGTCGCTTTTCAAACAATTAATGACAGTAAAATTCATCTATTTGTTGTGAATTATTTGTTCTGTTCTAATCAGAACAAAATTTACCTTAAATCCAAAGGCATTTGTAAAGAATACAACTCTCAGTTATTTGTTTATTTTGCTCTCCCCGTCTTACATACCATCAGTTTGTAAAATACTGGGTCAGTTAATAGGTAAATAATTCAACCACCTTTCCATTGGAAAGCCGGTTAATCGGTGTTAGTAAAGGTTTGCCCCCTCTATAAATCAGTCACCTCTGTTTGATTATGGACATTTCTGTCTCTTTCATGTCAATACCTCAAAGGCTAAGATATGAAGAAACATTCTGTGGCAAATTTTTGATCTCTAAGACAGAAGAGAAGGAGCTCACTTTTTACCTTGTCTTTAGAAAGGCACCCTTGAAGCAAAAGGTGTTGAGCACTTGGAAACTCTGGGAGGAGCGTTCCAGTTTTGGAACTCAGAGAATATTTACGAGTAAAACCACCCTGAAATGGAAGGGAAAAAACAGGAACATTGAAATAGCTAATACTGTTACATATGAAATCAAAAATACAATACTTGCATTCAGATAATCCTTTAAAATATTTATGCTTATCCAGATCTGGACCCCAGCTGAGGAAGGTTATTAAATATGTGTCTATAGCTAAACTCCACTGAATACTCTTAAAGTCTCAAATGCTATGATTAAGGTGAAACCCTCATCCTCAAGGAAAGAAATGCAATCTGTGTTATGGTTCTGCCCTTAATGGCTGAACTGTAGGATTCTCATAGGATTGCATTCAAATCTAAAGAAAACCATTTTGATGAAACCCTTCATATTATTTTAGCCTGACCAGTCCTTATGTCAAGTCAGTGTGCAGAGCCACAAGCTGGCCTTCTGCATGTTCCTGGAGAAAATCTTATTACTTCTGTGCAGATACCCTCTGAACTAATGACTGAAATTTATGATCTTGCATAAGGCATTTGAATGGAACTTGAAATGCATTTTCGTACCCTTTTGCCTACAGGTGGATTTCACTGAAGTGGGAATGGTAGATATATAGTGCAGCATATAGTGTAAAAGTGTGCAAATTAAACTATTTTTCTGTAAATGTTGACGCATTAATTGGAGGGCAGTTTCAAGTGACATTTTCTCAAATATTAATGAATATGAATATGAATTTTCTCAAATATGAATATTTCTCAAATGAATTCATAAAACCACAGCTGTAACTGACTTATTCAACATAAATATAGCCCTATTTTTATAGGGTGATATGTCTGAAAAAACAGGCAGCAAAAATCCAAAAGTATATATCATGTAAAGTAATTTTGCCTGTACTATCTCCTGTTCAAACACATATAAAGCTCTTAGTAAAAGAAATTGTAGACATTTAAAAACATTACTACTTCTTCATGTCAATACTTTTGCAGTGTTATAATTGCCTATCAGTATAAGGAGAGAAATTTTTTTAACAGGAGTAATCTTAATGATTTTATTATGCAATTACCCACGAAATATATTAAAAGCTCTGATTAAAAGGGATTTGTTCATTTTAAAAAGGCAGTGATGGTGGTGGGAGGTTTAAGAGAAGATAATCTGCAATTTTTTTTACCTTGCTAATGGACTTATATGACTGTGCCTGAGTTCTAGGTTTAATATTTTAACCTGCTGCCACTTGCCCTTTCAATTTAATGCCATCTGTTTCTAATGGCCATTTAACATTAAGATAATGACAGTAATATTATCTGCCTAATTAACCATGCAGACTCTAATGGTGCACTAACTGGTTTAGATAAAAGAATTTGCTGATATCTCCCCCTACAGAGAGAATACTAGAAAATGTGATAAAACATACCAGAAGTAAACAGTGTCCCTGGCACTCAATAAGTGTTCATTCAAATGCCATTTACTCAGTATATTTAGACAATCAGTGCTTTAACCTCTTTTCAATGTCTTTATGTTCCTACTGAGAATTACACCTTATGCAATTGTTGTAAATCTTTTTGGAATACCTAATTGCATGTACTTTCAAGCAAATGAAAAAGGACGTATCTATCACCTGTTCCCACTAATGAAAATATAATGCTTAAGTTTCAGTACACTGAGATTATTATAATTCAGGTTGAAAGACTTTTTTTTCTCTTACTACCTGCTTGAATAATTTCAGACAATACTGAGCTACACAATTAAGGACTCACAATGATGTGCCCTTTCTCATTTATTTCCACTGACTTATCTGTGAACATTTTTTCTGAGAGGGCAAAGGAGCTTTGGGTCAGAAATAAGACAGATTTGTGGGATTGTTTCCAAGACAGACTGGGAATGCCACATCTGAGATGGAAGAAAATATACACCCATTTATGCCAAAGGAACCAGGTATATTTCATCCCAAAACTCTGAACAAATGAATGCTTCAGTAGTGCTCACGAATATGTTTGGGATATCCCACGGCATAGCACTATCTTATTTTGATAAGATAGCAAATTATCTGAACAGGGAAAATGCAACAGATCTAATCTATCTGAACCTCACTAAAATACGTGACATGGTGTCACTATGGGAAATGATCAGTTATGCTGGTGAGAGTGGGGATTAGTAAAAGAATGTAAAAATATTTAAGAAACTGACTAGGTGAAATGCTAACAAGTTGTGTTGACAAGGAAACTACTGGATTGCAAAGGGATTGAAGTGCAAATTCCCATAGATCAGATTTGGGGCTGATTTGACTGAACATTTCATAGATTAAATTGGTTGACATGAGCTAATGAAATCATCAACAGAGGAAGACCAAGAGGTCATGTAGAAAGACATGGATGGCTTTGAGATAATGGTAATAAGGGGGATGAAAATCAATAGAGCAAAACTACAATTTCAGAGGCCAATAAAAATGTCTGCTATCAGCTAGGAGTTGCTTATCTGGAAATGAAAAAGGTGAAAGGCTTGCTGTGTATCAGTTGATCACAGAAGGTATATTTAGTCTAGTAAATTAAATGGTGTCAGGGAACATTCCCAGGCAATACTGGAACAGTATTACTCAGAACGGCCTCTAGCATTATTTTGGTCCATGCCAATTAACAGTATCCCAAACAGCTCCAGTCACATTTAAACATGTACTGCACATTAAAGACATTTCTTCATGGCAGTGTGGCAGAGATGTCCCTATGTCCTTTTGCAGGTTTAGGAGTTTAATAAATGGATGCAGGATATTCCATGCCAGTTGAACTCAGTACCAAATAAAAATACTGCAAGCAACCCTTAACCTTTAATGAACAATAATCCATAATTTTCTACTACAAATATGACAAGAATGACAGTGACTATACCATAGTATACAGTAGTAAAAATATAGACTACTTATGGGGGGCTGGAGAACAAAAACCAACAAACCATATCCAGATCTAAGGCTCATCAGAAGGGATATTTGCAATAGGAATTGGAAACATACCATTTACAAGACTTTATGATTTATTTTTACTCTAAAGATATTCAAGAACAAGTATGGTGGAAGGTTATAAGGCTAATAAGTTACTCAAAGCTGCTGTTTGTCCCATCCAGCAAGCAAAAGCAGCAAAAAGACATAACAAAATGTCATGAAGAGCAAAAAATAAAGGCAATACTGACTAGGAGGTACCAATTTCAGTTTATTTTAAAAAAAAAATCAAATCTTTTCAGCTTCCAGTCAGACATACAAGATTCTGAAAAAGCCCTCTTGCAAAAGCAACATGTTAAAAAAAAAAAGCTAGAGTTTGATCCTTTGCTTAAATATGGTTATGGGTAACTGGATTGCAATGGGAAGCCTAAAAGATGTTTTCCAATCTTATTTTTACTTGTAGATTTAGAGGAGCAAATACTCAGCTTTGTTAAAAAAGGTTATGCAGTCAAATATTTAATGAAAAATAACGTTGCAATTTTCAAAGAAATAAATGTGAAGGAAGCCACAGGTAACATAATATTTGTATTATAACAGAAGTAAAAGGAAACAGGTTACAACACTTACCTCATTCTTTAGCTTGCTTCCAGAGAACCTTTGAAAGTAAACACTTTTGATTATTTTTTCTTAGGCAGAATTTGTAGAGATTATATATATGTATGATCTATTAGGAAAATTATCACATTTTTCCAAATGCTATTACAGGTTTTAAAGGTTTTTTTAATTTTTTTTCCCCCTTAACTTCTTCAGCTAATTTTCAAATACCTGGGGATAAGAGGAAACCTACTGATGTCTTATAAAACATGAAGATTAAGACCACTGACTAAACACTAAAGTATAAAATCCAGTTTCACATTTTTGTTTGGATTTTTGCCACTTCACAAACAGCAAAAGGGTAGAATATGTGCAAGTCCATATTGTATTTCCTTTATAAGGAAATACAAGCGGTTTTTGACAGAGCTGAGTAAATTGAGAGTAGAAAAAGTATATATATATATATATATATTAAAAAAAATCACTTTTCTTGGAAAAATTAGGATATCATAGTGATTTCCCATTCTTTTTTACTACAGTACTATTTTGATGCAGTGAAATACATTTCTGAGATAAAATATTCCTTAACTGGCCAAAATGTGTTGCAGTATAATGAATGTCCTGTTAAGAGTCCAATTGAGAGATTCCAAATGAAGTCACTGGACTATCGGACAACCCCTTGGTGCAGAAACCAGAAAGAGCATTTTAAATTATAACTACTAAAGTAGAGAATGCCTAATAATAGCAATTCTAATGGGTCAGTATAATGATAAATGTTGTTTGATTATTGTTATTTCCTGTACCTCTAGCTGCCAGCTGATAAGATACTGTGGGCAATATGAAGTCTCATAATTATTAGTGGCAATATCATTGTTTCCTGCTGTTGAGATGCTCTCTGGCTGTTTCCTGCTCTCTAAGATGCTCTCAGAAATCCAGAGGCTGAGCAGTTGTGGAATTCCACCTGCCCAGGCCTGGCACAGGTGTCTGACAGTTCCCACCACATGGTAATCCAGCATATGTTACCTAGACAGTTCCCTTGTGTGCTGATAGTTAAGTATAAATGAAGGGATCACTCAGCTGATTACAATGTGGATCTAATTAACTTCAAAGCTAGATGTATTTGTTTTGGACTATGGGTTTCCACATGTTCAGCAAAATGTGCACTGCATGTACAGCAAAAATGTGAGGCAGCATCTGCTAGCACTGCTCTTCCAGAGCCTCAACAACTAGAAGAGACATAAAGGACAGATTTATGGATCACTATCTGCTGCAGCCAGGAACTGGGAGTTTTGAATCCCTACACTGCCTGATTCTTTCATTATCCAGAAGCTTTTCTTTAACCCTAGGCTACTGCATCATTCTCTTCACACATAAAAATCCAGCTACTGTGATTGGCCAGACTGTGCAAAATGAGCATCTGAACTTCTGCTTTATTTCAGTTAAACTGCTGGACCCTGAAAATTCAATATCTCATACAGGACAGCACAGGTTTTAACACAAAGAAAAGGTTCCTAATTAGTAAATCAAGTGAGTAGTCCTGAAAATCTTAGAGATATCTATGCCATCTTTATGTGAATGTATACTTTCAGAAATCCAGCCCTGGGGAACTTTGCAGAACCTCCACTTTCTTTGCACTCATTGCTACTAGATTGTTCCTGCCTTACATAAAGCCAAGGAGTAAGAATTATTATATTCCTTTAAATTAAAATAACTGTCTTTTAGTCAACAAAATGAACAATTTGTTCAAGATAATTCTGTATTATGAAAGAAAAATACACTGTGTGCCATCAACACCTCTACAGTTCTGGATACACACCAGACAAAGAAATAGAATATTCTAATCTATTACACCCTAAGTATTGCTGTGGAGAGAACCCTTCCTTTTTAAGCATCATTGGCAGTGTTACATTTTATACTTGTCTTATTGTTTGCAAAAGGTCTCTTTGGATATAACCTAAATCTGCCACCAGTAGAACTTTCTATATGTGATTATAAACTCATTTATTCCTTTCCTTTCTCAGAGTCCCACTTATCCAGGTATACTGCCACAGACAATGAAAGCCGTCATTCAAGCCATATGTGAACAGAGACATTTGTTTTACGAACTATTAATCTTTGGCAAACCAACAGGCAGCTATCGTAACGTATTGATCCTGCTAGCTGTCCCTTAAATAAATATAATTAGAGCTTCCTGGGTTAGGTTTAAACTGATATTAGCTAGTCAAAGGACCTGTAAATATTAATCTACACTGACCCCTCCCTCCTACCCCACAGGTGCCAGCTTCACACCATTCTCCAGACGTTTCATAATGGAAAGCTGTCCTGGGGAAAGAACTCACAGAGTGACACACAGGCAAACAAAATTAGACAAGTGTTCTGGAAATGGGATTTTGCTCCCTCATACAAACTTGAACAAATGTTCTGCTGCTAAAAGCTGACGGCTCTACACTGACTTTGGTGGGGTCAAACTGGAAGACATTAGCAAAATATAAAACATCAGCCTTTTAAACACTGAGATAACCAGCAACTCTAGTTCCGGTAGAAACAAAAATTAGAGTCCTATATATACCTTTTTAAGGGAAGGTTATAGTTAAGCCTTTAGTGATTAAGTCTCAGAAGTTATTTTACCTGGTTAAGCCCTTTCCAGAATACACAGAATGGTAATATGCGCTGCTTTCTTTAATGCCAATTCCATAATAGTGATACCTGCAGAAAAAGAAAAAAAAGAAAAAAAAAGAAGCATTTATGAGTGACATTATAATCATACAGTATACCAAGCTGTCAAATTAAAAGTAAAGAAAGATGTCAGACTGATTTTAAATGCTTTCAGAAAACTTTTCTAAACAGGCTCTAAGAATTCCTTTCACTGACACGGAACAAAATCTAGTCTCATAGAAAAGAGTATTGTCATGATTTGATCCAAAATTCAAGGGTTAAAATTAATATACTTTCTCTCTTACTAGAAGAATGTAGCTAGAACAGAAAATCCTGAAACATGTAACATCTCTTTTCCCTAATATACCTTCTGTTTCAGTTCATTTGTTTGAAGGGGTGCTGGGTTTGATCTATCAGGTTCATTTTATCTCACTTGCCACCATTACATTTAGACAGTCCCTCAGAGCCTTTCTCAGTTGCAAATAGCTTGCCAGTGCACTTTATAACTCAGTGTTCAGTCTCCTATGATTAAAAATGGTATGTCATTCATTCATTCTTCTGTCAGGTCATAGGTTGACTAACTCTAAATTACTAAGTCATTTAGGCACTTCTAATCCACATTTGTCTTCCCTGTTGCTCTCCTGGAGATTACTGCTCCCAAATAGAGACTGAAAAAGGAAACATGCCTATTGCTCAGGCTTTGCAGTGCTCACACCCAGCACCTTAACCAAAGACACCAAAGATGCAAAAAATATTAGGCTGGTGCTAAGAAAACTGGCTGTGCAGTAGTTACTTACCACTTTCCACTGATTTTGCTACAAAATAAGTGACCTCTGAGAGAAGGGCAGGAGAGCAAGCTGGGGGCAGCTCTTTCCTTACCAGTCTTAGCAAAGTTTGCTTGACTTCATCTATCAAAGTTGATAGACCCTGTCTTATAAATTCCACTCAACAGACTTAAAAACTGATTGTGTTAAACCAAATTTGTCTAAGAATGTTATTGATAGAATAGAAAGGCTAATTTGCTTTTTACTAAAATTAGCTTGAAAGTACCATGGCAGCTGGTTTAACTGAGCTGCTTCGAAGCAGCACTTTCCCACACACTGCACTGATTTCACTGAAACTCCCCAAAAGCTTCAAGAAATGCATTCTTAAGACACAAAGCCCCAGCAAAGAGTTCATAGAACAAATTAACAAAAGTGTTAGTCTCATCTCATCTCATCTCATCTCATCTCATCTCATCTCATCTCATCTCATCTCATCTCATCTCATCTCATCTCTGCTGTTCCTGGTGATGACCGTTAAAAGAAAAAAAAAATCACAGTATTTTGTTTGTTCTTGTATGGAACTGTCACAGGTAAGAACAAAACTCTCACGTGCCTTATATTTACAAAGCTGGTTGAAGTCATTAGATACAAATTATGACTAAGAAAATGTTCATTAGGATGATCTATTTGCCTAGCCTAGGTAGCTTTGACAATCTCAGCTGAAATTGTTTTTTCTTTTTCTGTTACTGGACAGTCTGTTGTGTGCATTCAGGATGTTACAGCCAAGAAACATGACAGAAAGTGGCACCATCACTTTTACTGCTTTCCTGAAACTGGTGAGTCTACACTACACTTCTAGATCACTGTAGCATCTGTCAACCCCTAAGAAAGCCAAAAGCATCTCCCCCTCTTTCCTTACTGTGACATGAGATAATGAAAATATACATTATGGATTCTTTGAAATAACAGCATTTACTTAGTCTTTACATTGCAAAGGGTGTCCATTGAACAGGATGAGAAACAGAATAAAGTTGTGACTGCTTCTTTAACAATGCTATCTGCCCATTTGTCATTGGCCACGCAAGCAAGCAGCTGCCCACATCTCATCCCAGCAGTTTAAATCTCCCAGCTTCAATCACATGCCATTTTTTAGATTCTAAAATAAAAATTTTTACACTTTCACCATAAATTTGGCATTTCCTACAGTTAAGGTTGGTGTGGGCCAGAGGCAAGGGAGAGCATTACTTGTTTACAGAGTTATGATTCAATGTCTAGATTATTACGCATCTAATTCAATATCAATACATTTGGGCTAGGAACAGGAATTTCTATGTGATTTAGATTCTCAAGTACCCAGTGGTAGGCAATATACTTGTTGCTGCTGGAATGTCCCAGGATATCAGAATTTATCACTGAGACATCTTGTTATGTAGAGAATAGATATTTTCAGCACATATTCTGTGTGTATTGAAGGCACAGCAGGTATCATTCTGTTTTTCTTCACAAATGTGTAGTTGAATTTTTACTACTAAGTAATACAGCTATCTATTCGCAACACAGAAACTATTGAAAATAATCTAATTTTCCTTTTCAATCTCTGGCTGGCGCACTCCATAGAGTAATAAGATATGAAGATTATTATTCTCTTACAAGCCATTATTTGAATAGCTTATTTTGGGCTCCCTGTAGAGAGTAGTAGACACACTGACAACATCTTTAACCTACATCTTCAAATGTCTTCCTTCTCTCTCTCTATGTGCATATTTATATGTGTATGTACAGTATATTTGCATTTTATTATTTATTATTTATTATGTGTAATTAACAAAATGTAATTGGTTACTATGAGGAATTTACTCTCAATTTTTGAAACAAACATTTTATAAAACTAGCTGAACTACTTTTCTCTTTTAATTTCAGTGGTTTGTTGCAACATATGTTCCTACACTACTTGTAGCTCTGATTTTAGCATACACTGACACAAATGATAACTGATAAGGAAATGATAGGCTTAAGCTGTTCAGGGACTTGCAATAACTTCTTATCACAAGGCCAGCTGCCATATCAGTTTTATTAACCCACTAAATCACTCCTAATAAATAAGATAATAGTTTTCAGACATGATGGATAAAAGCTAAGATTCATCATTGATCAAAGTCTACAAAGAAATTAAATTGTAACTTGACCTCAAACAGTCTTCCATGTGTATGGGCTGAGCAGTCTGTACCTTTTCCCAAATAGCTGCTTCAGGTGATTCATGTACTGTGAAAGTAACAGCTGACTTCTAGTATTGACCATGGTATGTTCAAAATTACCAATGCAAAAAAGGTGGATTCAGAACAGAGAACTGTTGCTCATGAAATACTAATCTAAGAGAGCAGTTTGCAGGACTTATGGTGATGCATCTTCTTTCACTCAGCAGAGCAAAAATAGAAAATTTTCCTTACTTTCAGCTATGTAGAATGATTAGCATGAGCATGAGAGATTAATGTATATTATTAACAAAATTGTGACCAATGTGTTGGACCTTCTTGGCCAAATGTTTAAATGAGTTTTAGTATTGACACTTTTGCACAAATGGGTTGTTGGATGTAAACACAGAGAAAGAGGGATTCTGACTTGAATTTTAGGAATCAAATCAGACTCAGCTTTAAGTTTGTCCTTTGCCCTGAACTAGGGATGACAAATGTTGTTTGGGAACATAGGAGGAACTAGCATTTGTGTATCTCACACCCTACAACAGCAACTGTACTCCATATGTTAGTGCAGGAGCTTTTCCTCAAATCCAATTCATGCTCATGAGGATGTCAGAAAGAGCTTGTTTCAGAGTGGGAGAAAAACAATTTCCAGCACCTTGAAGATGATGGAAAAAGGAAATTCTTTTCTTTCTTCTGATCACAGCCAGACTCTACCAATAGACTACCGTGCATTCTTGTAGCATCCACGAAGGCACTTTTTTCCCAGGACATTAACTTTTCTCTAAATTTAAGAACAATTGTTCCACTGGAGAAGAATTGTCTTCTTCCTTTTTATGCTTTTGCAACATCTGACTCTAAGAGTCCTGGACAATGATCAGAGCTCTGGGGCAATACTGCTATATAAAACATCACTGCCAGGAATAGCAAGTACTAATACTGCTCCTGCTAGCATTATATGGTAATAAAGATAGCAGTGGTAGAAATAACACAATGTCACTACATTAGTGCACTTTAAAATATATGACTTAATTGCTAGTAAGAAATCTCCTACTAGTCCCAGTAACTCAGACACAGCTTATAACATTTAGAGTCCATACTAATATTAAAAGAGAGTAACTAGTAATTTATTGAAACTGATGAACAGTCCTTTATTATTAACTTAATGGAAATACTTTTGTAAATATCATTTGTGTGACTAACTGCTACCTGGTGAAATCAGAAATTCATTTACTCCTCAGTGAGTCTGTAGTTCTGAGTGGGACACAGCCCACACCAGAGACAGAAAAATTGATTATCAGAGATCATTAAAATGAAAAAGGGTAGATTTGGATTAGATATTAGGAAAGAATTTTTGAAGTGGGGGTGTTGAGGCACTGGCACAGGTTTCTCAGAGCAGCTGTGTATCTCTCATCTCTGGAAGTGTTCAAGGCTGGATTGGATGGGGCTTTGAGCAACCTGGCCTAGTTGAAATGTGGCATGGGGGTTGAAACTAGATGATCATTAAAGTCCCTTCCAACCCCAACCATTCTTTCATTCTATGCCTCTATGAGTCTATGATTTATACTGACACTTCTCTATGACTGCTTGTCATAGACATGTATATGTCTATGACATATTTGACAAATATGACCATATTTGGTCTCTAAACTGGAAATATTATCATTTTTGCCTTTTGCAGGGTTGCTTTTAGCATGGCAAGATCGAGGTAAATGCATCTTAGCAGAAAAAAGAATTGCAGTGGAAAAGCTTCTGAGGAAAACTGATGGAAAAAATACAGAGAAACAAGTGCCAGATGTTCAAACAAAACCTGATGATGCCTCATTCCTTTGAGGAAATTGTTCAGGAACAGTTAATCCATATGAAAATATGGCACATAACACCAACAAGGTCAATAGGGATATGGAATCTGCCAAAGAAATGTTGTGCATGTGTTATTTCTATATTAATATTGTTTAATGACTTTGAGAAAAGGGGAATATAGTGACACTTGTTCCAACACAATTAATTTTGTAGCTGTATGCATATTTGAAATACATTCATTTACTTAATAAAGGTTGACTTACTGTACTTAAATCATGCAGACACAGGATGTGTTTTGGAAGTTTGGATCCTCTTTGGATCCTGTTTATCAATCTGTTAGTTACGTCAGAACAAATACATAATGAGCATGTGGGACACTTCTCCCTTGCATTACCTTGTTCATTGTAACTAAGTGGCTCACTAAATATGTTGGATTATGCACCTGACTAAGAATTCACCATGACATTGATGAATTAGTATGTTGTCAAATATTCCTGCACAGATTGTGAATGTCAGATCTCTTAAAATCTCAAACACAACACCAGCAGCAAAGCTATGTCTACATCATCTTATGCCTCCAATCACAGGTTAAGTTCACCACAGCAGACAGTGTACAAAATCTCTCTTTTCCCTAATAAATAACCTTTCTAAAAGTTGCTCTCCTCAAAACACCTCTACTCAGCATCTATAAGACACCTACAAAAAGAGAAATGAATTTCAGTTCGTTTTCCTCTATACATTGCAGACTGTGTACTATATTCTAGAAGAGATGAATGGATTATAAATTTGTAAGACTGAAAGAATCTATGCAAGAACTATCCTCTCTTAAAACGAACAATAATAAAACAAAAAAGGAATAATATTCTATGAAGACTTTGGATTTTATTTATATTAATGGTAATTCAAAATAAATGCTTGAGACATGCTCAAGAAATAGAATATCTTTGCAAAAGTTTGGAATTTAAATTCTTCCGCACCTTCATTTCTTTCTGCAACAAAACCTAAAATTCACAAATGACATCTCATTCATTCTTCAAGAAAACTAAGGTGGAATTAACTATTTATTGTACTTGTAAGGCAGGAAGAAAACCAAGTATAACAATATTTAATAACCCCCCAAAACCATGAAAATAAAAAATTATCTTTCAGACATTTCTACTATATTGCAAAACACTTAGAAAAACGAGTCTTGTAGGGTTTTTTTTTTCTTTTTCAGTCTCCTTTTGTTTTGACTTATGCTTATAAACTACTGAAAAACAAGAGTAACTTTGTCTTTCAAGGCTAAGTAGCTCAAAATAAAGAGCTTTTTCAAACAAACAGAGTGTTTTGAGTTTCTTCTATTTCTATCATTCTTCTGTTTTTCTATCTTATTCATTAGCAAAATGGCTATGAGGGAATACATGTATTACCACTCTTCACAACAGTTTTGCACTAAATTATTTATGGCCAAAAGCATAAGGCCAGAACCAGAACTAATAAAAATTTTACCACTAGGTGATATAGAATTGTCTATGATCTGTTCCTACAACCTAGTATTTCACAGATCAAACATATAAATTAATAGGATACAATATTTATGAAATGACTGCACTATAGATTGTGTACTTTTCAGTTTCATAAGATACCTACAACAAAGAGCAGAAGTATACCTTCAATTTGAAACAATGCTTTTTCTTGTGGTGTATTTAAGAGAACCCATATTGGTACATAGAGAACATAATGAAAGTTGTTAGGCTTGCAAAAGGGAAATAAAAACAATATTTATAAAAAGATAAACAGCTATATGTTATTATATGACATAGGTATTATAAATGCTTTTTAGAGATAATATTTTGACATATTTACAATATATGCATGGGTCTATAAATGCAGTGACAAGATTTAGAAGCTTAATCAGTTTAATTTTAAAAATTATGCAGCAAGGTTTTCAAACTCAAATGCTTGAATATCAGTTTCACCATGTACACGAAAGTTATCACTTGCAGTGTACCATCTGAACAAAATCCCCTGCCAATCAGTACATACTAAGGAAACACGGAAATACATATGATCCCTAAAATGTGTTCTGTAAGCAGATACACACGTAATTGTGCCTTACTTTGAATGGCCCCTTGTTCCAAGCCGCCTTGTGGTGAGGAGAGGGAATTTCTGGCGAATGGTCTAAAGAGAAAATAACTGCATTAATTTCTAACACCGGTGAACTTTCTTAGCAATCTGTTCATAGAAAAATAATAGTGTAAATATATGGTCTAAGGTAGTTCATGAATAAACATTTTTGATAGTTATGGCACGAGATAAACGATTAGACCATGTTTCACACTGTAGGCTTTCTTCCATCCTTGTCCACATCCTTGCTGTGTATCTCAGTCGTCCCACCTGTTCTCTCCGTTTTCACTTTTACATTTTAAAATCTAGTCTTCTTCACCAGAATCCTATCATGTTCAAGTTCCTAAAGTACAACTGTATCTTTTGCTTCAGAGATCTAAACAAAATCAGGGGAAACTCTGCCCTCTAGTTATTCTGTTTTCAAAGACAAACAATTAGAAAAAAATTGATTTTTTTTCTTTGAAACGTGATATGAAAAATTAATTCAGTAATAGAGGTAGATGTAATAGATATCTGTATAATAGACAGATCACTGTCAAAAGAATGTTTAAATGGAACCTATTGTCTTTCTCATTTATAGTGAAATTGTGTATGAAAATTAGATATCCGCATTTTTATGATGAGGAATAAAATAGGAAATTAACATTTTATGAACCAGATTTTAAACCTATTATTATTATTATTATTATTATTATTATTATTATTTTATTTTATTTTATTTTATTTTATTTTATTTTATTTTATTTTTAATTAATGCATTTTGCGATGTATAAATCATTACTAGATCAGTAGTGTTTACAAAAAAGATGATCCTTGAAGCATTTTTGGTTTCCTGTTTCACTGAATACTCAGGATTTAATTAGAGAGTTCACATCTCTCTTTCATCAAATTACTTCAGGATTAATTGTAGGGAAGGATAGAAAAGAGAATGAATCAACAACTTTTCATTTGGGAGCTCTTAGTGTTATTTCTTTTTCCCTTCTATTATTGCTTGTATCACATCTCACTTTACACTGCCTTTAGTGTAAGCGTCCTCCATGTCAGATTTGGTTTTGTGGAAAGAACCTATTAATGTCATGAACAGAAAGGAAACAAGCACTCAGAGAGAAGAAAGGAAACAAGCACTCAGAGAGAAAGTAGGTTTTTTTAAAAAAAACAAAAACAAAACCACAAAAAAACACCAATAAACCGAAGGGAGTTTCAACTTCATTCTCTCAAAGGTGATGTTAAGAAATGCCTTCATAGGAGAGACAGTGTAGTTAGTTAGTCTGACTCCATGTACATTAGAAGTGGAAAACATGTGAATTTCAGAAGAATTTTTACACAGGTGTACTAAACTTTGATTCTTCCAAACAACATACCTAACAAATTATGAAGGCATTTATTCATTACCTTGCCAAAAGTTGCAGCACAGGCAGGTTCCAGTTTCTCTTTTCTGCAGAAGTCTAAATAATGGGCATAAAGGATGCATCTTGGTAAACAAACTCCTTCACATACAATGTAGTTTTCTTCCAGCCTGTGTAGAGAAAGAAACTGCCAGAGTAAGAGGCAACATGGCATTTCTCCTGATTGTACTTTCCAGTTTTTGGTACTGCTCTCTTTTTTTTTTGGTTGTTCTTCTTTTTTCAATTTTACTGAAGAATTCCATCAGAGCACACAGCTGAGTTTCTCCTGAACATGACAAGTACTACAGAGAGACTCCATACATAGTTGCAGAATATGGAAATCCTGGAACCAGATCCCTGTTCTTAATGAGACTTTTCCAATGTCTGGACTTTTTGTCTTTATTTAAATAACTAAATTATCATCACCTAAGAGCCAGCCTTAGTCTGAAAATAAAAGCCCTAACTAGACTATGAAAGACCTGGGTTTAAGCCAGTCCTTTGAAAGTTTTTAAGAGCAGGGACCTGGACTTGCATCTTCTGTCCCATTGTATCCACAACACCTGAGCTAATGGTTCTTTTCTTCCTCTTTTTCCTTTTTAATTTCCACTCTGGACTTGGAAATGCTTCAAACCACAGTGAAAAAAACAACAAACAGTGTGTTTTGAAGAAGGTGAATTTCTGTGTAGCTTCCCAATCAGTTTACAGAACACAAGGGCTGAGTGATGGTCATTAAAGTAAAATTTTTAAAACTGAAGCAAAAACCTGTTTTCACTTGAAGAGAATCCTTGGAAACAGCTGGGCATTTCTCTGTCCTGTTGTTTTTTTCTTTATAATTTTACATTGTTAACTACTGCTGGGATGATGTGCAGTAAATTTGTTTCTCAAATTGCACAAATTTGTAAGAAAATACTGTGTAGTAAGTACTGCCAATTGAATAATTTTGCACGGACTCACCAAACTTAAATCCTTAACTATTTACACTCAGAAGTCAGATGTATACTAGAATAAGAAATTGAGTAATTTTAATTACTCTGATTTTTCAGTTAGAAGGGAAAAAAAAATCTCTGTTGATAGTCTGCACTTCATAATTAAGTTCCCATTTAATTCAACAGCATCCCTCCCTAATTTCAAGTGTACTTTAATATAAACATTTGCCAATTAATGTCTGCAGAATCTGACCTCTAAGTTGGATAACTTTTTTTTCCAGATAAAATAAGCTGAAGTTAGGGCCTCAGTGGGTGGGAGAACCATAATGTAAAAGAAATGCATTATAAGACAGTGAAAAATCTAACTGTCACAGCCTTAAAGGACAATTAAAGCAGCCATTCACAAATGCAATTCTTAAATAATGTTTCTTTTCTACATTTTGATGAAATGAAATGGCAATCATTTAATTGATAGCCACGTAGTGTGAGAGTCTGACTGAGACTTCTGGCAAGTAACAAACCTTTGAAAATTTCAAAGCTCAGAAGTTTGGGGATGGGTGTCCTTATTTGTAGATGATGCTCATCCAAAAGAAACCCTCAAAACAAAAACAGAAAACAAAAACCAACTAACGAAACACCCCAAAATGCCAAATTCTTTCTAAAAGAACTGTGAGATGTCGCCCTCCTTGCCGGCTCAGCTGTTAGAGAAAAGTCCCTTTGAGCGTGACGGGAACGCCGGCTCGGTCCTGGAGCCCCAGGACGGGCAGCGGGGGCTCTCTGGAGCCCTACCATTGCAGGGTGAGCTGCGTCTGCTTCTTCTTGTCCTTCATGATCTGCGTGATGCTCTTCTTCGAAGACGGGCTTTGGTCGGCGGCTGTCAGCGCGCCGTAGCGAGAATCCGCATCCTCTTCTTCCGAGGAGAGGGCTTCGCTGCCGAAGCGTGTTTCTTCTGCCGCGGGGGACAAGAAGAGAGACCCAAGGGCATGGTTACGGTCCCGCAACACGCCGCCCCCTCCCGCCCTGCCCGCCGCGGGCTGAGGGACGGGCCCGGCAGCCGCGTCCCCGCCGGGGCCCGAG